CTTATTGGCCAGTTACCTTAGAGAGGACAGGCTTCGAGGGACAACCTGCTCAAGCTAAATGATGCCTGGGTCCCTCCCCACCCTCCAAGTCGGGATTGGAGCCACGGTGAGTGATATAACGGGTAACCAACAAAACAAACAACTGTGACGGACATGGAACAAGCAAAGTAGAACCACTCTGGTGTGATCGTGCCCTTACCTATGGGATGACTGGGATTACGTATATGCCAGGAACAAGACAAACGTAAACTCAGATCCTGATGGGACGCATTGGTAGAATCCATTAGGTAGTTCTTGCCCGCCGCGAAGGCTTCCCTTTCCGCCACTAGCGGCGTCCGTGCTCTCCTCCAACTTGCGACTAGGGGAAGCCGTCGAAGATAATCTGTGAAGAAAAAAGTTTGCCGCCGAATGCCGGGTTCCAGCTAAGACTCCAGGCTAGCGAGCCCAAGTCGTGCTGCCAGCCTCTGAGAAGTTTTGGCTAGTGGGGAGAAGCTCGTGGTTCCTCGGAGATAGACTATAGCAGGTGTACGGTCAGGCGCCGGAGCCTCGAGATCTTTCGGTATGAACGTCTATGGAAACAGAACAGAACCTCAGCCTGCCCTGGAAACCCAGTACGTAATTGCTTCCAGCAGCCACTAATTGTTGGCTGACATAGTCTCTGGACCCCACGGCTTCAATACCTTTCTAGTCATTCCGGCGCCTGGCCTCGCTCCCCTCAGAGTCATGTCCAGGGTGGTGTTCATGCCTGCTGGTTGCACCCATGCCAGATCCCTCGCTTCGCTTCCTCCATCCATCTGGGCCCCCCACTCTCACTTGCCCACCCGTCCTAGGCCTGCCCAGGCCACGGCCCCCCACCCGAGAGCGAGATGTTCAGCGAGTGAGCAGGGCCCTGTCGCACTGACGGACTGCTGAATCAGAACTTAGCTCCAGATGCCTTGGCCTGTGCTTTCAATCTGCAAAGAACGAACAGCACCTTCCAGCATGTTGACCAGCAGCAGCATTGCTACGGCTAAGGTGCAGTCTGCGCGCTCCTTGGCTTGAAGCCTACTTACTGTGGTTGGGCGACCGATTTCTCTGGCCCAAAAAGAACGGTCCTTTCAAGTCTTCGTAGCCTTTTTTCACTCTCGGAGAGCTCTTACGACGGCCCCACCACCAAATCGGCAAACCCCTTCAGTATGTAATCCAGTAATATTTGGCAGGCCCCAGTGCTAAATGTGCCTAGACTTGGTACTTGGCAACTCGCTCCGAATCGAGGTCTAGTAGCTCGAGAGAGCACCAGTTGCAGCAAGGCCATCCTTCCTTCTCGCTGGACCAGACTTGCGCTTTCTCCCCTCACATTTTCCCATCCTGTGATGACCATCGTCTCCGCCGAGCAAGCTTGGTTTGTTGCTTTCTTTTTCTTCATTGTGGCGCTCCTGTTCGTCCAGTGATCTGTCCCGCCGTTACACGCCAACTCCAGCCGAGGCCAACCCACTGCAGAAGTGATTTGATTCACTAATTCCGCCTGTCGTATTCAGCGTTTGGCTTTCGCTCGACAAGATCACCCGAGTCGACGCCCCCTCCTTCGCAAACTCGCGACACGAACTCAGAACCGGCCACAACAGCTTCGGCGAAGCGCCTTCACGGCGAGGGACAACATTTCTATCGCCTTGTCGAGTCTATATGTTGTGCAGCGCACGCTCGGCCCAACTTGCGCACGCCCGACAGGCTCCGACGCCAGGCTTTCGCCCACCACCTTTAATAAGGACCTGGCCTAGTCAATCTTGCCGAGCCGCTCCGTTTCAACATCACCCACCCCTCCTTGCGAGCACATACGATGGCATCAGCCACCTGGGATGGTCATGATCATCACATGGCCGCCGGTCCTGATGATGACTTCCAACATTTCCTCGACATGTCCACCATCGGCGACGGCATGCAGTTCGACTTCAACGGCTTCCCAGATGGCGCCGAGGCACAGGCGATGATGAATCGCCAACGGAACCCTACAGATGCCATCATGAATGATGCCGGCGCTTCGTCCATGATGCCACAGGGACCTGGAATGATGCATGGCCAACCCGCTCAAATCAACCAATCTGGCCCTCCGCATACCTCTGCTGCTGCGCAGATGATTCCAACGACTGCGCCGGCCTCGGACTCCATCTCCAGTATCGACGCCCAGATCCAGTACCTGCAGCAGCAGAAGTTCCAGCAACAGCAACGACAGATCCAAGAGCAGCGAAACGCTTTCTTTGCGAACCAGAACCATTCTGTACCACCGACCCCTCAGAGTATTGAGATGCCTCCCGGGAGCGGCAACTTTTACACACAAGAGCAAATGTCGCATGAGGTGTACGATGGGGGCTATCATCAGCAGCAGCGAATGAAGGAGCGACAAGATGTGAGTTCCTTCTTCCCCCACCGAATCTCTCCTTTCTGTATCCCCTCGCAACGACAATGCGACCGTATTCTGTTGCTTGTGTGGCCTCGTACTGATGTAGACTTGTACCACTTTAGATGGCATTTACGCCGCTTGTATCACCGGCCGTCACCCCGCTGGAAACGCACTACATGGAAAACAACTTTACCGCGTACTTTAGCCCTCTGACATCACCAGCCCTGCACGCCCAGAACGACTCCTCGTCCGTCTACGACCCCAGCACACAGTCTAATAACTCTCCCATTGAGATGGACCTCGAGATGTCACAGGCTCCTGCTGTAGTACCCATGGAATTGTCCAAGAAAGCAAGGGAAAACAATGCCGCCAAGACGAGGAGTAGGGCTGGTGGGATTAGAAACTCGCCCATCTCGAAACCAATGCGGCGCAAGACAGGTCCCAGCCCCGCCATCGTATCGCAAGTTCTCAGTGAAGTGGATGAACGGAGCCAAGTGAATAAATTGGAACCTATGTTGCCGCTCCCAGTGAGCTCAGCCGAAATGTCGGAAGAGAATGCCTCAGTGTCTCCTGAGAACCTCACGGAGATGCCCCCTCCTCCGGTCCCAGCAAGGCGATCCATGAGTAAATCACCATATATCCAGGCTCAAAATGGCAGCGCCCCGACCTCGGCACCATCCAGCATGACAACGGTTCCTGCACCGCGGTCCTCTGTTACCAATTCTCCCCAAGCTGGAGCAGACCAACCCCATCCAGCTACACCTGCTTCGCTCATGAGGCTAGCCGGATCCAAGGGCAAGAAAGGATCGTCTCACCTCAATGAGCAGGTATCCACTGACAATATCGAGACCCTGGAGTTGCCCGAGTCGGTTGCCAAGAAGCAGTTCCCAACCATCAACACCCAGGCCGCCGCCAAGGACGCACCGTATCCTGACCCGGGTTCTGCTAACCGTTCTTCCTTCCAGCCACTTCCTTCTCCAGTCTTCACACGTCCCGGTACCACATCTGCGAACCAGAGTCCTCTGATCGGGCCAGGATCAACTGGCCCGGCTCCTCGAAAGACCCCGCAACTTGCTCCTCGGGCTAGCAGGAAACGATCGACCAGTTCAGTCCACGTCTCTCCCGCCTTATTGCCAAGAATATCACCCAACATCAAACCGTTATTACCTGGGACTCCCGGCGAATCGCTCGAGGACACTGCCTCACGCTTGCTCATGTCTAAATCGAATTACCAGAACATCTTGGAAGGAAACACGGTCCCTGGCGTTTCATACCCAAGCGAACTTTCAACGAACCTGACGTCGAAACGCACATCACACAAGATCGCCGAGCAAGGTCGCAGAAATCGTATCAACTCGGCTCTTCAAATCATGGCAGGCCTCCTACCTGATCAGAAGGGATTATCTGGAGAAGACAGTGATAAGAAAGACAGCAAACAGGCAAACGCTGCCAACAGTAAAGCTAGTGTAGTCGAGAAGGCTATTGTACACATGCAGAACTTGAGCAAGGAAAACGTGGATCTCAAGGAGGAACTCCAAGATTTGAGAACCCAGCTCGAGAAGCTAAAAGCCAAGCAATGAGGCTGTTCCATCTGCGGTGGCAATATCGATACCCGGGGAAGTTCACAATGTGTTCGCCCCTTTTGACGAATTTTGACTGAGGGGTAATGTGGAATAGACGATGGAAAAGACAATATGAGATTAATCAGGGAATATCTTACAACTGCATAGGGGCGTGGCATACGAGGTGATTGGATCTAATGATCGACATGAGCTGGGTGGCTTATTCTGGTTTACTTTACTGGTTTCTTGGGTTCTGTTATTTATATTTCTTTGGGCTGGCTCTTCTTTTTTTTGTGTACCGACTTCTTTTACCCCTTGAAAGATTAGCATATTATCAGCGAGAAGGTCTGGTCCAAGCTTGGTATTGTTGGATCGTGGTATTCTTAGCTTCGTTCCTGGCATTGAATCATGTTTTCGATGTTTTGGATGCACTTGTTGTATAAGAGAACTCTACAAATCCATATCACATGAGTATTGTGATATCATCACACGCCGTGCCATGCATTAGCTTGCAGCATACGAACATGTGAGATCATACGAGCATCTATGTGAGATCGACTAGCATGGCCTCTTGTGTTGTGCATATATACACCAGTGGTGTGTGCAGGACGGGCCGCATCAGGACGGGCCAGCTCATGGAGGCAGGCAACGTTTACGCTAGCAGAGGTCAAGTCAATTGTAGAGGAGTGTTTGTCTTTAGAATCTGACCTCGAATATGTCACTGCGCCACCTGGAGTCAGGCATGTCATGATAGCTGACAGAGAGTCGAGGAGTTGCATCAGCTCTCAGTCAGCTGAAATATAACTTACCCAACTCCACGAGGCGCAGTGACATATTCGCGGTCAGAATCTGAAGACAAACACTCCTCCACGATCGACCCAACCTCTGCTGGCGTCAACATAGGTTGCCAGCCTAGCAGGATGTTTGGAGTTTGAGAGACTAAGCAAGCCATGATTGTCTTGGTTACTTCCCAGCTTTTTCCTCATTAATCAATGTTTTTCTTCTTCTTCATTGTCTCATTCCTTTTCTCGTTTTAACTGTTTTGTATAATGTATATGTTTTCAGCTGGGCGGCTTTTGCAGCTTCTGCTGCTCTAGAACATCGACGTCGAGGTGCTCCATGACCTCGAGCACGAGTTTGAGGCTCTCCATGAACGAGTTGACGGCGACGCGGAGCATGCGGTTCGTGGCTGCTTCGTACTCCGTCTTGAGCAGCCGGCCTTCGCTGTTGTTGTCGTCGTCCGAGGGAGGGGTGATGACGGAGAGGTGTCGGCGCACGAGGGGGGAGAGCTCCTTGTCGACCTGGAGGGTCCTGAGGGCCGTGGAGGCGAGGCGTTCGCTGGGGAAGGGGACGTTGATAGTTCTGTACTTGGGGAAAAGGCCAAAGTGTTAGTTTCTTCTGGTTCTGTGTGTCTTCTCTTGTTCATTTTGTTTGTTTGTTTATCGGGTATATATGTCTTCTTTTTAGGGCTGTCGCATAGGGTAGATATGATGGGGAGGGGGATAAGGAGGGGGTGTGGTAGTGGATGTGCGATGTTGTCACCGTGAGAGATGCGATTACGGGGGGCCAGCTGATATAGGAAAGGGAGGGGTAGACTTGCATTGAGCAGGGGAACTCGGGGTCTGCCGTGGCGGCCATGGTTGCGGCCTGGGTTGGTTGGCTGAGACCTTTCCTGTGAGGAGGCCGAGGGTTCAGGGATGTGCGGTAGGGAGAGCAGAGCTTCCTGAGCCAACGGAATGGAGCTAGAGGTTGTGTTTGAGGTTGAGGTTGTTATGGGGCGGGAAAGGTCAGAAGAAATGTTTCGTCTGCGTTGGGTTTCGTCGGCTGGCTAGATTCGAGAGTTGAGGCGGGGTTTTAGGTTGCTTTGGTGCCGGCTGTGGCTGGTGATGTTGCGCGCGCCACAATGCCGTTCCCTTGCTTTACAGTTGGCAGCTAGCGGCTCTAAAAGGTTTGGCTCGCCTGCAGCTAGGCTATCGGTCAAGGGTTTGTAAGGGATTGGTTGGTGGACAGAAGGCCGCTGAAGGGGCCGCTGGGGTGGCTTGCACCAGGCCGTTACCCGTTGCAGCGGACAGGGGCCTCAAGATGGGCTCTAGCCATGCGGTTGCTATGGTGATGGGCCGGGATGGGGGCCAGCTCCTGCACTGTTATGGAAACTGGGGTTGTTCCAGCGATGCCAGCAAAAACACATAACAAGCGAACCCCATACAAAAACATCATGGCCCCATTCCTGCAGTGATTGACGTCTCAACAACAACGCTCGCCTTCCTCCAACTCCTCAAGGCATCATCTCTTCTTCTTTTTTAGTTGAAGCGAATGCCGTTTTCTTCATCCTCACTCTTCTTCTCCTTCTTCCCTAACCAGCATCCTCTTCCATCCTCTACCGCGCTGGCATCAATTACCTGGAGTACCTTCACCGAGACCTTTTGTGCCTAACGTTTACCGATCCAACCTTCCATCCTATCCTCATCCTGCGATCTTCCATCCAAACAATTGCTCGTGTGATTGCTTCGAGAGCAACTGCCTACTGGTTCCAGCTGCCTCCCTTAGCTCAAGGAGCAGCCGAGCTGTGTAGCCTCTTGCCTCGCCGACCGTGGTGTATGCACGCATCATCAAAACCAGCTCACGAGACCAATCCACGCAAGAGCTAGAAGCTATGGCTCCTACCTCAAGACAGGCTCGAACCATGGGACAGGTTGTTGAGTACATTCCAGGTCAGTTTTTCACTCCCTCACCGCCTCGTCCCTCATCCCATCTCTCGTCGTCGAATGCGGTCTGTGAGGGAGCCCAGCGTGAATATCGGGGAACAGACCTGAGCAGCAATGCGATGGTCGACTTCTCGCGACATGCATCCTTACTCGCTGATTACTCCCGATGTTCCCACGAGGCCTTCGCCAACCGCCCGGCGTCGGCGCCTTGCCCCGACATCATTGCTGACCTATGTGCCAGACCGCCTGTACTTGGCCGCTTACGTTCACCCTCCCACCGCTGAGACACCATTCCCATTTCCTGAGGCGCCGGCCTCTCCCAGGAAGCGTGGACAGTCTGCCGCCACACCATCTCCTAGCACCGGAAAGACGCCTTGCTACTTCACCGTCGACGATGCTCTCCTCTACAATGCTTTCCACCATGACTTTGGCCCGCTGCACATTGGCCACCTCTACCGATTTGCTATTCACTTCCACGACATCCTTGGTGCGAAGGAAAACAAGGACCGCCCCATTGTTTTCTGGAGTGCCGCCGACCCAAGAAGTATGTTTCATTTTCCTGTTCTTCTTCGCTTCCTCGTTGCCATCCTGCAAGTGGCTTAGCAAGGGGCGAGTTGAGCTCAGCTGCTAACCGATATTTTCCAGGCCGTGCAAATGCTGCATGCATGCTAGCATGCTACATGGTTCTCATCCAGAACTGGCCCCCTCACCTGGCATTGGCCCCCATTGCTCAAGTTGACCCTCCTCTGATGCCATTCCGAGATGCTGGATACAGCCAGGCCGATTATGGCATCACTGTTCAGGATATTGTTTACGGAGTTTGGAAGGCCAAGGAAGAAAAGTGCTGCGACCTCGACAACTTCGACCTCGACATGTATGAAAAGTACGAGCGTGTGGAGCACGGTGACTTCAACTGGATCACTCCTCACTTCCTTGCTTTTGCTTCTCCCCAAGATACTCCCGTTGCGAAGATCACAGAGGAGTCGGAGCTATTCCCATTGCTCCCCAAGACCCTCCAGGATGTTTCCGACCATCCCACACTGTCACAGCCCTTCAAGAATGTCCTCAGCCATTTCAAGGAGAAGAACATTGGGCTTGTTGTCCGCTTGAACTCACACCTCTACTCCCCTTCATACTTTGAGTCGTTGGGTATCCAACACATTGATATGATCTTTGATGATGGAACCTGCCCTCCACTGACGACCGTGCGAAAGTTCATCCGTCTGGCTCACGAGACGATTACCGTCAAGAAGAAGGGTATTGCTGTCCACTGCAAGGCCGGTCTTGGCCGCACAGGCTGCCTGATCGGTGCCTACCTCATCTATCGCCACGGTTTCACTGCCAACGAGGTCATGTCTTTCATGCGCTTCATGCGCCCGGGCATGGTTGTAGGACCCCAGCAGCACTGGCTGCATCTTAACCAGGGAACCTTCCGTGAGTGGTGGATTGAGGAGAAGATTGAGCGAAAGCTCAGGAAGGAGATGATGGCGAACAACCAGATGCCCAGCACCCCGATCCGTGCCATGCAAAAGTCTTCATTGCGCCAGCAAACCACTACACCCCCTCACCGAAGCCCCTCAAGTCGTACACCTCTCAGCGAGGTTGACCAGGATCGCAACAACAGCCAGGAGGACTATCTGCCCGCCCCTACCCCCGGGCAGCCACGAAAGGCTGCACGTGCTGCCGACCGACACCACCCCTACCAGCGTTCAACTTCTCAAAGCATCGTCTTGGACGAACAAGCTGAGATCGAGAAGGAGACAGACATTGTCGCTATCCAGCAAACTTCCGAGTCCGAGGAGGAGTTGCACCTTCGCATGCGAAGTCACCGCAAGGTGTCTCAGTCCCCATCTCGAAGCACCAAGGTGCGGTCAGTCAGCCAGACAACTGTCTATGTCATTGACAATGATGCATCACAGGATGCCGAGAACATTGGCTCCGTTCGTGCCAAGCCTATCGATCGAGTCGTTAGCACCCCCAGCACGATGACCAAGGTGCGAGGTAGCAGACGCCAAGCTGAGTCTCCCCTTCGTTCGAGGGACTCTGCCGGCATCCGCAAGACGAGTGGGCGCATTGGAAGCACTGGCACCGCCATCACGGCCGCGGCAACCCGCAAGGTCTCCTCCAGCTCTTAGGTGACCCCTGGTCGAGCTGGCATTGGGTTGTTCCGCAGCCGAGGCAGTGTAGTGCAACCTGTTTGCAAGCCGCCACCATCATGATCATGATTCACACGCATGTTCTCACGAATGACTCATGTTCTCATTGCATGCATGAAAGGCGTTATAGGCTGGTTTGATCGAGGCGATCTCCTTCTCCTGTGTCGCAAGCCTCCTGTGGTCCAGCGTGTTCACATTTTTCTTCTTTCCACAATGGCGACTAGACACCAAAGGGTTCATTCACTTTTGGCTTATCGAACATACATTTATAATTCACTCACCTATAGACAACGGTGGCGATGGTCGGCCGGGTGGAGAGAAGGCTGGACACTTTTGGCACGGAGTGTTTGCAGCACATGGAGCAGGTGGGAGAGTGCCGATATCTGACGGCGTCCCGGCGCATTTCTGGATTGAGAGACCATCATCCCGTAATATGCATCAAGTCCATTGGTTTCTTGTCATATCTTTTTTGGCACAATTGGATTCATCTCAAAAGGACTGGGAGTAGAGGGTTCTGTATATTCTTATCGCTCCGTCTCAGGATTGGCTCTCTTATGGGAGTTTTCAAGGTTTATTATAGGCGCAGGGAAATGGTTATTTTGTATTTTTTGATTTTGGGAATAAATTTTCAGCATAAGCTTAACCACACCTGGCTCCTCATATTGCGGCGACTCCCGTAATGATTTATGTTATGCGTATGTCCAGAAGCTTAAGGCAACGCTCTTTCGATCCAGTGTAGTTGGTGAGTATGTTTGCCCACCCTTTCGTCACCCCTTTTTTTATAATGAGAGTTGAGTTAGTCGATGCTATAGCCGGATACTTTCTAACTTGGCCACCACAGACTCCATCAACTTCCCCGCCTCACTACTCGTCATGCCTTCGTCGGCCCCGAGGCACATCTCCACAACCTCCTTGTACCTCTTGCCCACCTTGCTCCCCAGGCCCGGCACGAGGACGGGCAGGACCACCTTGTCACGCCAGCGCTCGGGGGAGTAGTGCGGCCTGTGGTAGGACTGGAGGCACTTCCACAGGCCGATCTCGAGGAGGAGCAGGCCGAGGCTGTAGACGTCGAAGGCCTTGCAGTAGGGGAGCCCGCGGAGGGAGGAAGGGTGGCGGTGGAGGTTTGCGACGGGGGAGGGTTGCCTCCGGGGAGCGAGGGAGAGGGCCGGGTCGAGGTCCGGGCGGGAGGCGTCGAAGCCGACGAGGAACGGTCTGGATATGTCCGGGACGAGGGCGGCGGTCGCGGTGGGGGAGACGGCGGAGGCGGAGAAGGCGGAGGGGAAGAAGAGGATGTTGTCTGCGCGGAGGGACTTGTGCAGCCAGTCGAGGGAGTGGAGGGACCAGAGGGCGACGGCGAGGGAGGAGGCGAGGCGGACGCGGTCGTCGAGGTCCGGGGTCTTGAGGTCCGGGCTGGAGATGAGGGTGTGTAAGGTTGAGTGAGAGGGCGCGGGGGCCTTGTAGACGAGGCCGTAGCGGCTGCGGTCGGCGTCGTCGGTGTAGCCGAGGCAGTCGACGCTCTGGAGGTCCGGGTGGCAGGAGGAGGCGGAGTGCATCATGCGGGCGAGGTCGTCCATGCGGCGGAGGTGGGCGAGGCGCTCGTCGAGGGCGTCCTTGTCGTAGTCTACCCACTCGATGACGACGTCGCCGGCGGTCTCGTGCTGGGCCTGGAAACGGAGGGGGCTGACGGTCTCGTCGGCTTTCTTGTTGTCCTTTGGTTGCTCGGGGAAGCTGAGGGCTGGACGGGGGACCTTGAGGCGGTAGGTGGGCTTGAAAGACG